CCTTAAAATGGTTTTCAAAAATTCAAAGCTGCTTTTATTCTAGCCGAAGTAAAACAAATAAGACTTATTAATAATGAAGAATGAATAAAGAATACTGACCAGTAGACAAAATATTATCAGACATACTGTGAAAATTTCCTTGCTCTGTTAAACATCATTTGAAAAATAATAAAAATAACAATATTTCGGGGGATAGGGGGGAGTAATAATTCTGACTTTAACTGTATATATATTCATAATTTAAATGTTACTGTGTCAGTTCTTTACCTCATCAAAGCCATTAGGTATACAGTTCTGTACTTTTTATTGTACTTTTTATTGTCAGATTTATTTTGTCAGATTTCGTTTGGATAAAATCAACGTTTGTAACTGTATGGTTTACCTATAGCTGGTTGCTTTATTTCATGGCTTATAACTAGGGCCAGACAGAATTTGCGGACATTTATTTAGCTATTTCAGCAGAGAATTTTGTAAAAAAAAAAAAAAAAAAACTGCAGATTTTTGCAGAATGATTTTAGGAGTATTATAACTAAAAACTTAATGGTCCCACTTTATATTAAGTGGCCTTAACTAATAAGTACTTACACAGGAATTAGTAGTTTGTTACAATGTACTTATTGTATAAATACATGTATTAACTGTGTACTTATGCTTGATTAAAAACCTGTATGTAATTACATCTGTTATTAACTTTTGTAATTACATTTGTAAATACAATGTTGACCATCCCTTACACCTTAATCCACCCTTTAACCTACCCATACCACCAAACCTGTCCATAACCCAACCTCTATCCCAACTCAAAAGCACCACAAGTGTTCTCAAATACATAAACACGTTAAGTACATTGTATTTATTTTTTGATAGAAGTACATAGTAGTTAAGGACACTTAATATAAAGTGGGACCAATAATATATGAAATAAAAAATAAAACCTTTTTTTAACTTTTATTTAATGTTTACAATGCAAATTCAATTAGATTCACTTATTTGGTAAACAAAGCAAGTCCCTCATATAATATATCTACTAAAGGACAGAAAATATTACTTTACAAACTGTATTGTAAATAAATAATTCGAACATTTTAATATTATTTTATTATATCAAAATAATATTAGTAAAATGAATTTAAAACTGAATAAATATAACTTTACACACATTTACACAAGTAAATATGTAGAGTCAATGATGGGCTAAAATCTGCATAAATCTGCACATTACTGCACGTGCAGGTTTCATGTCGGCCTACTCACAATTTTGACAAAGACTTGATTAAACTTCCTATTACTTAATTGAAAATATACATAACTGGTCCCATCACAGCAGGGGGCAGAAAATCACAGTTAGACAAAGTAAATGTGGACTCAACTTAAAATTTGATGGCAAATTGCTGCATTGCTTTTTAGGTTAAAGGTTGAGTCTGTGCAGCAAGTTACCTTCAAATTTTAGGTAGAGTCTACCTTTTTTTCTTTACAGTGTACTTGCTCTTTAATATCTTGTTGAATTAATAGTGCTGGAACGTGTTGCTTTTTATTATAATAATGTAAATCTGGTTGTAATGTTATTGGAGTGTATTCCACAAAGCATTTGATGATTGACAATTTGGTTTGACAATTTGGTCATCACAATTTTGTAGCTCATAGGTCATGGACTCATCCCATTAGTCCTATCAATAACACATAATGATGATTTCACAAATGTAATACCCCGAGATGAGGTCATAATTACTTTGTAAAGCCTAAAGAAAAAAATGAACAAGGAGCCCTTGTGTGAGATTTCGGCGCCACAAAACCCCAAAAGCTTTTCTGAGCTGCATCAAGATCTAATGGATGCTCAGTGTCCTCAAGGCTCTTCTCTTAACATTGATGATCTAATCACTTAATCCCCATTGTGTTCCCAGTGGACCTCAGTCCTGGTAATGAAAATGTTTGTGTGTGTGTTTCTACTTAACCTACTTTCAACCTCTTCCTTGTTACTCCTGTCATTTCCGCATGTTATTCCATGTTCCTCTTTGCTTCATTCTGCTCCTCCTTGCTCTTCTTTTTCTTAAGGGTTTCCTTTTCTTTTTGTACATGTTATATAGTTTGTATTTTTGTGGATGTGTGATTAAAATCGAACATCATTGAACCACATTTGTCATTCCACCCTTTTTATCTTGTTTTTAAGTAAGCTGCTTACTGTAAATGTGTGATTCATTATAAAGTAAAAGAACAGAGCAGTAAACAGTAAAACTGTTTGTTCTACAAACCAGAGTTAATCATTAAGTGCAATATTATGTTAAGAAATACAGTTTGCGAAACAGGCAGTAAAACAGCTAAACTGGATGACACAGGAAGTCAAAAACATTACATTTATAAATGCCAAAGTCTGCTCTTGCATAAAAATAAGGTGGTTACACAAATAAAAAGATTTGGCGGTCCACAAACTGCGGCCATACAGAATATAATAAATCTATTGTATGAAGTTAATTTAACACATTAAAGGCATAGTTCACTCCAAACTGAAAAATCTGTCATCATTTCTTCAACTTTTACTTGTCCAGATCCTGTGTGAGTTTCTTTTTTTCTGTTGAACGCAAAATCATTTCTTTTGAAAAAAGTTGGAAACCTGCAATCACTGACTTTTATAGTATTTGTTTTATTGCTAAATCAATGGTTTCCAGACAGGTTTCCAAATACTGAAGGTTTTCAAAATATTGAACATTGTTTCAACAGAATGAAGAAACTCGTAAAAGTCTGAAAACACTTGAGGGGGTGAAAATAGTGAGTAAATGTTTATTTTTGAGTAAACTTTCCTTTTAAGTGTTGAAATCATGTCTTTATTTTAGTTATTTACAATTAACCGCTTACATTTTTAAAAATAATTATTTTTCAACAACAAAGAATTTTAATGTGTATTTGTATTAGATAATGTGTTCTAGAAAATGAGTAGAAAAAATAAATACCTTATTTTCCAAAGTATCTCACAACAACCTCTATTAGGAAGTAAAAATCAACAAGCAAGTCAACCAAGCAAATTATAACTTGTCTATTTATATTTTTCACACATTGTTAGTTTTATTACTCAAATGCTACTGTTTTCTCTCTTTATATAAACAATAATATTACATATTATAGAAAATATGATAATGGTAAAAAAATATATTGTGTTAATGTGAATATATGTGGAATGCTTTACAATAAGGTTGTACTATTTAATGTATTTACCAACGTGAGCAAACACTAAACATTGCATTGAAAAGGGTATTTATTAATCTATGTTAAGTCGCTGTCAGATTACACGATTTTTTTTGTCGGTTACGAAAGTCACTGTCAGATTATGCATTTTTTTTCTCTTGATAAAATACTGACTTGTAGTAGGTAACAAAGTGCTAGACTACACGTTTATTCAAAATCAGTCATCCCATTAAGTATGCGACGAGCGTTATTTCCCAAAGCAGCAACAAGTGTTGCTTTAACGATATTTTCTATCTCAATTTCATTTAAAAAAAAAATCTTATTTCAGTCTTAACTCCATTATTTAAGGGCGTTTGTTACAACATGGATAGAATTAAACTTATTATTCCTTTATAATATTAACATATTTTCTTTGTAATCTAAATGTTTATTTTCCTGCCAGGGTTGCTTATTAAACACTCCTTAGCCTGAACTGCTGAGAGTGAGACAGAGAAAATGAAAGCACATCAGCATCAAGGAAAATCAATTGCTCAAGACATAATCTTTAAAATAATGAAATATAAAAACATTTACAAATATATGACAGAGGTTTGTGATACAACAATTAGAGTGAAGCATTCATTAAATCTTTATTTTCCATAGAGCAAAACAAATAATTTAATATTATTGTTGAGTGGCGGAGGAGCACAAACAAAAATACTTCAAAAAAACTTATAATTCATTAATTTTTTTTTCTTTTCGAATTTCGTTCGCTATAGTTTTTATCTTAATTTTTATGTATATTTTGTTGTGTAGTTATCTATAGACAAGAATAACGAATAACATTTGAGGTAAAGCACTTCAAAACAAGTCTGCTGTATGCGCCAAAACATGAATTGCTGTGAGATTGTGTTGGTTTGTTAAATAAAATAATAATAGGCTAATTTCAGATAGACTGTATTAAACTGTTTTCACTAGTAATGACAAATTTGAATTAGCATGAAATGCTTTTGCAATGTATTCGCGATACTGAGCATGTTCCCAGATTACCTTGAAGGAACAAACTCTGTTGGAAGGATGAGAGAACTCAGAAACTCGTTGTGGGAATGAAGATGTCTGCATATTTGTGCCAGTCTATCAGATAAAATTGCTTAAAACACCTTAATATTTTAGAAAAGGTAGTTAAAGTTTGCAAAACCAATGATTGATCTTATTCACCCATTAAACACCAATAATTACATATGCCGTCTACTTTTTAAATTACCTGACCGGTGCATTAACAGCAGGCACCCGCTGAGATAACCGAGAAATTATGTGCTCCTATTGCCCAGTGTCACCCACGTGATAGAACTCAAAATCAAACATGCTAGACTTTTTGTGATGGTGTCATGAGGTATTGCAGGCATGGTATCAGTTGTTGTGCCACATTACACGTGAAGAAACTATTCAATCTCGTGTCACAATGCCCATTTGTCTTTTACGAATCCCACACGTCAAGGAAATCGTGCCAAAATCATGACAAATTTGTGTGATCTGACCAGGGCTTTGATGTTAGTTTATGAAAATAAAGTTGCTCATTATTAGTTTGTTAACTCATAGAGCGTTAACTAATGTTAACAAGCATGAATTTGTATTTCATTAATGTATTAGTAAATGCTGAATCATAATTAATAAATCCTGTGCAAGTGTTGTTCATTATTACTTCATGTGATTAAATACATTAACTAATGAAGCCTTATTGTAAAGTGCGCCTAAAAAGAGTAATAAAAAGTCTATACACAAACATCACAGCTGACTCGATCTCTGAGGTTTATGTTAATAATCACTTTTTTTAACCATTACAGATTCTTGAGAAAAACAGAGGTGGATTACAGCAGCCATGGCGGCCATAGCAACAGTGCCCAACTACACCCCCTCAGTATGGGTACGGTTATGCCATGCCATCCCTCGCCTGAGCTTAACCATGCAGATGCGAGACAGCGTGTTCACTCCAGACAGCTGGGAGTACCAGCAGGTAACCCTCTCTCTCTGCCTTCTTGTTTCTCACTTTCAAAAACAATTTTCACACCTGACAGCTGGTGGTGGGCACGCTCATCATTCAGAGCGACACACATTTATTTCTGTCTCGCTCTCTCTATTTTGTTCTCTCCTTCGTGTGCTCCCTCTGAGAGTTTGTCCAAATGATATCACATATGTGCCATATAGCATGTGAACATCCAGAAACATTGTTTTTTTCATGCTGTCAGAAATATTTACTTATCGACTTGCAGAACATACTCTAACTCACAGCACTCTAATGCACTCTCAGAGAGATTAAACTGGAGTGTTAAAGTCAAAACCATTAGAAGCACTTTTCTGTCTGCAATTTATAGAGGCAAAATTGAGTTTGCATCTCACGTTTTTTAATGTTCAGTGGGTAAAGAACTGTAGACTCAAAGTAGCAGAGACTAAAAGCATGAAGGACTGATTTTAAAACAATAACTTTGTCATGATAGATATACAGTTTATTTCATAAGTGTGTTTCCACATTTTGCTAATATTTGGATACAATTTGTTTCATTTGTAACTTTGACTCAAAAGTACAGGTGCATTTAAAATCCTCTGTGAAGTTCTTTTACTTCAACACTCCTGTTTTTCCCGGGAGTCTCCCATGTTCCTCCCGCAACCCTCCCGTTTTGCTATATAACACCCAACTTTGGTACAGTATCCGCCGTATAGCAGCGGCCGCCCAAAACCAGGTGCATAATACAGTTACTAACACCACAGTACAGTTACTTTTTTACAGTTTACGGTTCTCAACACAGTTATTCAGAGACCTCACCCCCGAACACATTTTTGCTGTAATAAATTCATTAAACTTTTTAAAAATTTTGGTCCCATTTTATATTGTGGCCTTAATTAATATGTATTACACTGACCTTAATAATTCATTACAATGTACTTATTGTATAGATACATGTTTTTACATTGTACTTACGCTTGATTAAATATCTGTATGTAATTACATCTGTAATTAATTTCTGTAATTACATTTGTAATTATACTGTTGACCATCCCTTATACCTTAACCCTCCCTTAAACCTACCAATACCACCAATGCTGTGCATAACCTGACCTGTATCCCAACTTAAGGGCACCAGAAGTGTACTGCAATACATTTTCAACACATTAAGTACATTGTATTTATTTTTTGATGCAAGTACATTAGTTAAGGACACTTAATATAAAGTGGGACTTTAATTTTTAAATATTAGAAAATAAATTAGGGGCTTACTCATGGAAACTTTAATGTACCTTTGGCCCACAGCCCTCAATTAAGTTTGTTTTTTGGCCCTTTAAAGTTTGGGCACCCCTGGTATAGACACTATACCTAACATAATGTTCAATTATTCATTCATTTTCTTGTCGGCTTAGTCCCTTTATTAATCCGGGGTCGCCACAGCGGAATGAACCGTCAACTTATCCAGCAAGTTTTTACGCAGCGAATGCCTTTCCAGCCACAACCCATCTCTGGGAAACATCCACACACACATTTACACACACACTACAGACAATTTAGCCTACCCAATTCACCTGTACTGCATGTCTTTGGACTGTGGGGGAAACCGGAGCACCCGAAGGAAACCCACGTGAAGGCAGGGAGAACATGCAAACTCCACACAGAAACACCAACTGAGCCGAGGTTCGAACCAACGACCCAGCGACCTTCTTGCTTCTCACTGCCTCGCCCCCTAACGTAATGTTCTACACAATATTTTACTGAATGTTCATGAGTTTCCTGAATCAGTTACAGCTAGAGAGTAGCTGGGTTTCCATTCTAATATTTAGCTATTTTTTATTCTTTTATTCATTCATTCATTCATTCATTCATTCATTTTCCTTCAGTTTAGTCCCTTATTTATCAGGGGTCACCACAGCGGAATGAACCGCCAGCTATTCCGTCATATGTTTATGCAGCGGATGCCCTTCCAGCCATAACCCAGTACTGGGAAACATCACTTTACACTGGCATTCACACATACTCATTCACTACGGCCAATTTTGTTTACCCAATTCAAAAAAACGGAGCACCCTTAGGAAACCCATGTGAATACAGGGAGAACATGCAAACTCCGCACAGAAATGCCAACTGGTCCAGCCAGTGACCTTACTGTGAGGCTACAGTGCTAACAACTGAGCCACCGTGTCACCAAATCTTTTTCGAAGGAAAAAAGAATGCAATTCACATCAAGTTGTTATAGAGCAGCTGACTATAGTATTGGTTACCTAGTAACCAACAGTAAACAAGACAAGCATAATGGAGACAGCTGATTATTCACATGGATGTATATGGAATTCCACTTCAGTTGCCCAGCTTTATCATTACAAACATATACATTTTTCAACTTAAGGTTAACAAAATGCGCTAGTAAAATAAGTATTGTAAAGTTTGATTTCATGTGGACTTGAAGATGAAAAAGTCATTAAATTATCCACTTAACCAATTTGTTCAAAAGCTTCTGACTATTCAGCATACAGGATCAAAACACAACTTATATGTGTTGTTCTGAGACTTTGTCTCTTTTCATATGACAGACCAAATGTAGAAAGAGTGACGTAATGCTGTCTAAAACATCTTGTTTACTGAACCCCAGCTATTGTTGTTAGCATAGGAAGGGCTTGAGGTAAATGTGAGAAGCTGTCAGATTCTTTTGTCAAATGTTTGAATAATGTAGGCATACACTGGGAAAAATATAAATAATAAAAACTTTACTGACTCCTACTGACTGAGCCAACTCTTCTGTGGCAACATCAGCAATAAACTACTGTGCTCTGCACCAGAGGTCTGCTCCTGAGAACCCAAAGTTTATTTTCAACCTGCTTCAGCACACCTGCATTCAGGATCATTTGATAAACGCTTGATTAAGTGCTCCGGGTGTGTTTAATTAGGGTTGGAGCTGAACTCTGCTGGATAGTTGGTACCTAGAGCAGGACTAAAGACCTCTGTTCAGCACTATACATACTGCACATCCATAAAGAAAACATCACAATTGCATGATTTGCATTACATAAAATTATCAAATTGCCAATACAAATATAAATAGTTCTTAGGTATAACCAATACTATATGTAACCATTACTATAAATTGCAAGCTTTAGACAGACCTTCATCAGTAATGTATGTAAATGACAGATTTTGCTTTAGTTTTATTTCTGTTAATTGTAAGTGTACAGATTTAAAAAGTCAACTACAAGTATGTTGTACTTAAACTGTGGTTCGATTGGATTGGAATATCTTTATTGTCCTAGAGGGATAATTTGGTTAGCAGCAATAGCCTGCACAGATCGGCACTCAAACAAACATAAAAAAACCAACCCAGGGTCATTCTGAAAACGTAGTCCAGCGGACGTGTCTGGAGACTGCGAAATACATCCCGGGAGGTACGTATTTGTGCAGTTTTTGTCTACGCGAATCCGCGAGAGGCTGCTGTGTGCGCTTTTCTTCTCTTGTGAGTGCCACTCACGCCCGCGCTGTTCTCGCGTCAACCCACCAGAGGCCGATGTCTGACTGACCGAATGATTGACTGCGCGACCGGCCAATCGGCTGACCCACCCTCCTCCTTCCCTGAACCCAACCAGTTTTACCGACTGACTCGCCTGCCCGCTCACTTCCCTAAACCTGAGCAACAATTTAGAAAAGCCGTCTAGAAGAAGAAAAGCCCTCGTCTGTTTGTTTTTAAACACGTTTTCAGATTTCACCACGTTCTCACCCTGCTATGAACTCGTTCGTTTTATTTTTTGGATTCTGTTTTTGTCTTACCTGATTTCTGGAACTCCTCCTCTCTGCATCTGAAGTCCGCTGACGCACACGATAAGCTAACCGGACAAACTGATTGCGGCAGGAAAGCCCTCCACACGGAGGTAAGCGGTCAGCCAGCAAGCGCGAAAGGGAACGGCATCACACCTCCCTGTAGCGTTGGCTTAAAAAAATGAAATGCAGCCATACGTACCTCCCGGGACGTATTTCGCGGTCTCCAGAAACGTCCACGGTACTACGTTTTCAGAATAAACTTGGGTTGCAACCAACAGTAAACAATTAAATTAATCATGATTAAGTAAAATAATTAAAGACAAAATCAGGGTCGTAAAAACTCCAAACACTGCATATTTTGTTCTTATCAAAACATCGTTAGCAACCAAACTGAGCAACATTGGCTCAGTAATGCAGTTTATGGCTTGACTATATTTGACCTGATTAATGAAGTACAAACTTGTTAGTTATGCCCCATTCATACGGGGCGTCAGCGTCAACGCTTCCCATTCACTTTGAATGGCTGATGTCAGGCGTTGCCGAACTGCATTGTAGATCCATATGCGCCACTTCAGCGTTGCTCGCTGCAGAAGTTGGGACTAGTTCAACTTTTCAAGCGCCGACGGAAGCATCAGCCAATCAGATCGCTGTATGCAAATACACTAGCTAGACAGTGGCCCATTGCTGACTGAATTTCATTGGCTGATGCTGCTATGACGCTCATTTTAGCCCCAACTTCAGACCACCTTCAGTCAAGCGTTGACGCTGAAGCCCCATATGAATGGGGCATCAAGGTCTGCTTTTTGTTGGGCTGTTAATAAGCCTGTTGGGCTTCATTTTTAGAGAACCAGCTAGATGCACATTATCTAGCTTATTACACAGCTACTTGCTACAAAGGTAAGCAGTTAGACAGAAAACTTCAATCTGAGGAATAATAATTTGCTAACTTTTTAATTATAAGAAAACAAAATAACAGTAAAAAGAAAAAATGGCTGGATGGAGCCTACACAAACCTTCTTGTTTTATTATTCCATCACAATATGATACCAAACAGTCAAGAATATGTGTGACAGATAAGATTCATTGAAACTTTGAGAACATTTTAAGCATTTTTCCTTAAACTGGAATTGTAAGCAACAAGAGTTTAATTTACAGCAAATTAAATCATTATTAATGTTAAATAGTGTAAACTTTAAGGAAGTGGAAGTGAAATCAAATCAGTGATTTACAGATTGTTATGCCTTTTTAAAATGTGACTGAATTGCAAACTGTTTACTATTGGTTAAGATCTAAATACTTTCAATAGTTTTAGTGGCTGTTATCTAAGAATGCTTTGTAATGTCATGATTGACCAATTCCTCTTGTATTCATTCCTCAATTTTCCTCAAGTGGTCCTAAGAGCTGTGTAATAACAGTAATTATAGCTAACAACTTTACCTACTACGTTTTTCAGTGACCTTGGTTGCATTCTTTTGTCACTAACCTAACAAAAAAATATGCCCAAATTCGCGTATTATACATGGACCTCCCAACTTTGCAATTTGTATGCAAATTGTGATTTCAGCATTTTACAAAGTCGAATTGAATGACCTCTTCAACGCTGATTCATTTGAACTTTTAGTCATGGTTTAGGAATGTACAGTGTAGAATGCAAGGTTATGAATGCTCAGCAACTGGTAAATCTTAAAGCAAGATAACCAAAGCAAGTTCTGGTAGTATTTTACTATTTATTATTATTATTACATTTTTGTTTTTGTCAAAGCAGTTTTTGGAAGGCTTTATAAGCATGAACAAAACCCCCCAACTGCAAGGGGAATCACAATGATAGAAATTGTCATTTGATAAGGGATTTAAGAATTTAGATGATTTTCAGTACAGCATCGTGGGTGATGTAGTTTTCTGCATGATTTTTTTTTTAACAAACAAAACCAAAAACACCTGTCATTGAAAACCTACAAAGTTCTTTAGCTATGATGGTTCCATGAAGAACCTTCAACATGTAGGGGACTTTTCTATAGTAATAAACATTTTTTTAGATGATCAAATAGAACTTTTCACTTTGAGGAACCAAAAAAAAAGTAATAGAAAAAAAAATTACTTTTAATCCCTCGCTTTTTTTAAAGAGTGTTGGAGTTCACAACTTAGATCTGCCTTTAAGGAAACAGTCAATATTTTTTTAAATAGGGTCATTTTACAAGATCCTATAATTAAAGTTTATTTTTGAATTCATTCAGCCAATCTCCGGGTCTGGTGGGAGCTATTTTAACTTAGCTTAGCATGAATTACTGAATTCGATTAGACCATTAGCATCTTCATTAGCCATTAGCCATTAACATCAAAAACTTCAAAAAAAAAAAAAAAAGTAGATTATTTTCTAATTTAAAGCTTGACTCTTCTGTAGTTACACTTTAAGATCAACAGAAAATAAAAAGTTGAGCAAGATGCTAATGGTCCAATCCGATTCAATGATTAATGCTATGCTACGCTAAAAGTGTATCCGCCAGACTTGGAGATCTGCTGAATAGATTAAAAAATGGTAAAACTCAACTTTAGGTGACTTGTAAAATGAGCCTATTTCCAAAACAAGTGGAGTGTTCTTCACTTAAAAGGTTTATCAGATAGTGTTATTCATGTCCCTTTGAAGAATACTAATGGTATTTATGCTTCTGAAACATGACTTATACACTATATTCTCTTATGCAAATAAATAAATAATGTTTGCTTCAGATACTATTGTAGCACTTTATGTGCGATTCCATCTAGTGACACTATTAATGCAGAAATTAAACAGCTGCAATGTGGTTACCATTTGAAAAAAAAAAAAAAAAGAAAATAAAAAAATGCCCAACTGCAAATTAATAAAGGTGGAAGAGACAAATCCAGATTACGCCTGCTGCCTGAATGGCTTTAGCGGATAAGACGCAGATGATAAGAGAAAGATGTGTTAGGGAAATAACAGACTGTGAGAGAGATGGTAGAGAGGAGAAATGAGAGAGAAATACTCATGGATAATAGTGGGAACTGGGAAGAGAGGAGAGAAAAGAGAGAGATGAAAAAAACAAGAGAGAGAGAGAGAGAATCAGAGGGAAAAGCAGTAAATGTATTTAAGTAGGTCACAGATTATTAATAGAGATCCAGTGGCGTGGATAAAAAGAAAGAAAGGGGGAGAACAGTGAGGGATGAGTGAGCGGAAGAGTGAACCACAGGGAGACGAGAAGGAAAGAGAGACAGAGAGAGAGAGAAATTGTGGAAGATGAATTAGGACCAGATTGCAAATGTATAGTATTTGAAGCCTGAATGCACAATGTGTGTTTGAACGTGACGTCAAGCTTTAATTACACCTCCCTGCGCTCTCTCTGAGTGAAGCCTCAGTGCTGTTTTAGCCAATAAGATTAAAGAGACATCCTCCATTTTATGGCACACTGCTTTGCATATTGTATATGCAGATGCTGGAACAGTAAGCAGATATGATGTATGTGTACTCTGTGCTATTAAATGGGAAAGAAATGGTGCAGGATTTACCTTAAAATAATTCTCATTGTGTGATTGATAGTAAGTTTTACAAATAATTATAGTGAAATGACAAGCAATTGAATTGAATGTGATCTAATGAAATGATATATGTTCCTACAGTTTCTAATGTTGAGGAATCAATTTTACTACATTTACTGCTACGTTTTCATTTTTAAAATGCCTTAAATTAATTTAATCAATGATCAATTTTTCATTGATTCATTCATATATATATGTATGTATATATATATATATATATATATATATATATATATATATATATATATATATTTTATATATATATATATATATATATATATATATATATATATATATATATATATATATATATATAACAAATTAATTCATTTAAATAACATTTTAAAAAAGTTTATTTAAATGAAAAAAATATTAAGACCAATAAACACACTCAAATATACACACTCAAAAATAATTGCTTTATACTACTTTTGCTATAATTATTTTTTTACAGCAAATAAAATAAATAAACTTAATGAATTGAGTAATTCCTAGTAAAAAGCAAAGTAAAAACTGAGCTCCTGACCAGACCCAAAAATATATAATATCATATTTTTGTAATATTTGATTTTTTTTACATAAATAAAGCCAATATTTAAATTATATTCAACAAATATTCAACTCAGATCCTTTAAATCTCTTTAAAGTACTATATTAAGCCAAATATTATACTATAATAAAAATATAGTACTTCATCTTTCATTTTTCTGTCGGCTTAGTCCCTTTATTAATCTGGGGTGGCCACAGCGGAATGAACCGCCAACTTATCCAGCACATTTTTATGCAGCGGATGCCCTTCCAGCCGCAACCCATCTCTGGGAAGCATCCACACACACTCATTCACACACACACTTATACACTACGGACAATTTAGCCTACCCAATTCACCTGTACCACATGTCTTTTGACTGGGGGGGAAACTGGAGCACCCAAAGGAAACCCACGCGAACGCAGTGAGAACATGCAAACTCCACAGAGAAACGCCAACTGAGCCGAGGCTCGAACCAGCGACCTTCTTGCTGTGAGGCGACAGCACTACCTACTGCACCACTGCGTCGCCCAAATATAGTATTATATAAAAAAATAAGCAAATTTTCTATATTTGTTAAATGAATAAAAAAATTAAAATAAAAATTTTAAAAACTCCCAACAGGTGATACAGTATATAGTGGGCTTATTAAGGTAGGTAAGGTGTTATCATTAACAAAACTACAAAATATTTTATATAGTCCATTACTATAAAAGAAACAAACAAAGCAAAATCAGATGATGATTACATTACAATTATTATAATCTAATAGAACTAGTATAAAATAATTATTTTTAAAAAATTAAAATAAGAGTCAAATAAATTACAGAGATTTTTTAATAACAAAATTGAATTAAACATTTTTTTTAATAGGGCGTCAGAGTTGCGCAGTGGGTAGCACGATCACCTCACAGCAAGAAAGTCGCTGGTTCGAGCCTCGGCTGGGTCAGTTGGCATTTCTGTGTGGAGTTTGCACGTTCTACCTGTATTCCTTCGGGTGCTCCGGTTTCTCCCACAAGTCCAAAGACATGCGGTATAGGTGAATTGGGTAAGCTAAATTTTCCGTAGTGTATAAGTGTGTATTGGATGTTTCCCAGTGATGGGTTGCAGCTGGAAAGGCATCCGCTGTGCTGGATAAGTTGGCGGTTCATTCCGCTGTGGTGACCCCAGATTAATAAAGGGACTAAGCCGAAAATAAAGTAAATGAATGTTTAAAAATAAATGTATATTTATAAAAAGTAATTAATAATAACATGTTTAAAATATATTTTAGACATTTAACATTTTGGGATGGGCATCTCTCGGATGAAGATGGTCATATTTAGCATCTAAACGATTCTTAATCCTTGTCTTAGACCAATAACAAAACTGATACAGATACACCAGCAAAGAACTTCACGAACAACTCTTGAGTGTGTGGTTATTTTTCCTTCTCTATTTCTCTCCACAGACTCTGCTAGTGTTGTCCAGCTTCTCTGCCATCGCTCTTGTACTCTCGCTGCTGGTGATTCTGTGTTTCCTCATCCACTACTGCTGCTGCCATCGGGGCGAATCAGGCAGAGATGCAGAGGAGGAAGAAGAAGATGATGATGCCAGCGGTGGCCATGGTTACAGTGGCAAAAAGGGGCGGGGCATCTGCTGTGTCACATGGGTGTCGGTTGCAGCCGTCACATTGTGTTGGTAAGACCCGCTAATGACAGTCATTTTCATGTAACAGCGGTAACTCTCTGATGAGAAGATGGTGGAGACATTTCTGCAAAAACAGCCCTTGCAAATTTTAGCATGGTGCTGTTTAGCGGTTTTATTTTTGCGTATGATCTATAATATAATATTTTTAATATATAACATAAATATATGAATATTGTTCAAGTAAAGGTGCATGGAACTGCTTTTTGAAAAAAAAAGTTTCTGAAAAGTGAATTCTGGCTTTTTTAATTTAACCAACGGAGAAACTAAAGGCCTTTTTGTTGCTATTAAAAGTTGTTTTTTTACTAAATGGTTTGCATGGATGTGGGAATACATTATATATATTTTTACAATCTGTAAAAACATATTTTGTTTGATTGTAAACTTTTTACTTCTCTGAAAACCGCATACAGCATAAATATACAGCAGTTTATCTGGTTTTACTGGATTTAAGGTATTAAGTATGGGTTTGTTTTGTTCAGTAAAGGGCTGATAATACTTTTATAAAGTTTCAAAGAGAAATTCTGTGATAATTTTTTCCAAAGAAAAAATAAAAATTGGTCAAAATAACAGAAAAATCAGGGTTATTGATCTCAATATGTAATTCTTGGCTCTTCTGAAGTTAAAATTATTGTGTTGTCTAAAAACAAAACGTATATATTATACTATAATAGTTTAAACATTTTTAGGATTAGAAAATGGTCTTAAATATATTTATTCATTCCTTAATTTTCCTTCGGCTTAGTCCATTTATTCATCACAGTGGAATGAACCGAGAACTATTCCAGTATATATTTTACACATCGGATGCCCTTCCAGCTGCAACCAGTACTGGGAAACATCCATACACACATACATTCACCACAGTCAATTTAGTTTATTTAATTCACTAATTATCTAATGCACTCTGAGGAAACCCAAGGCAAAACGGGGAGAACGTGAAAACTCCACATAAAATGCCCACTGACCTAGCCTGGATTTGAAATAGTGTACTTCTTGCTGTGAGTTGACAGTGCTAACCACTAAGCCACTGTGACGCCTGTCTTAAATATATCTAGTTTCATTTTTTTTTTCAAACTTTTTGTGATTTTGAACATGAAAATAGTAAAAAAGATAATAAATAAATAAGCTGGAATGACAATGAAGGAAACAGATGATTAGATCTTGGGTATTTAAAAGAAAGATGTTTTTTAGATGTTAGTATCTGTATGTTATTCATTAGGACATTCATAAGTTAGTTTGCTCCAAAACAGTTATAAAAATCACATGGAAGGTGCATGTAAACATCCAAAGCTTGCAGGTTGTCACTTCTGTCTCTGGATCCCGGATTATTTTCACGTCACCTTATACTTCACTTTCTCATCAAATCTTGTGACTAATCAAATAGTCGACATGTCCTGCCTTCTTTAAGACACTTTTCGTTTGCTTTTCATTTGACACGCTTGATCACAACCACTGTCACTGTGAGAGCTGTGCTAAAAAACGAAACACATCTATGACTCTGTAACATCAATTCAATTATTTGTTTATTAGGGGGTCAAGCGCGAAGCGCTGAAACCCTATTGTTTTTGTTAAGATTTTTATTAGGGGTTCGAGCGCGTAGCGCTGAAACCCTATTGTTTTTGTTAGAATTTTTAGGGGGTCAAGCGCGAAGCGCTGAAACCCTATTGTTTTTGTTAAGATTTTTAGGGGGTCAAGCGCGAAGCGCTGAAACCCTATTGTATTTGTAAGGATTTTTATTATTATTATTCTGCCGAAGTCACTATTGCCCAGGCCAAACCGTAAGTCCGAGAGAGCTGAAACTTGGTCAGATGGTAGTACTCCGGTACACTACATTCTCACCGAAGATCAGCCAAATCGGCCCATAGGTGGCGCTATTGCGCCAAAACCCAATATTTTGGCCGCCATTTGTACACCGTTTGTCGTAGACTCAAAAAAATTACATATTTGGAATCCTTGGGTCAGCCCGAACAAAAGTGGAGTGACCCAGATTTTCTCTACGGTGGACCGTTTTCCCGCTACATCGCGATTTGTCCGAAACCTACTTTTGCGAACTAGTCCTAGGTTTTTTGCGCAATCTGAACCAAACCAACTCTGAAATGTTCTCTGGACACTAAATATCAATAATTATCAAAAAAAAGTTGAAATTTTTATTCTCGCACGAAACAGTACACAACAATGTTCGATGCTAATTGAAGCTAATTGCTAATTGTAGCTATAACTTTTGAAAGGAATGAGATATCATCACCAAACTTGGTACACATATGTGTAAGCTTAATTTGATGTAACAGTGCAAAACCTGTGGACTTTGGCCACATGGTGGCGCTATAAAGTTTAAAAAACATAAAAATTACTCTAACCTTACAACCATTACTCCAATCAGCTTGAAATTTGGCATGCAGTGTCTTTGACCAAGTTGTCATAACATACTATAAGGACATTGGCATATCTCAAAAAACATGGCCGCCATTAGCCAATAAAAATTGAGCAGCCATTTAACAAGGTTAACGATGAGTGATCGAAACGAAACTCGCTGGGCATGTTCGACTCACGGTCCTTGAGGTCTGTAAGAATTTTGAAAGAAATCGGCCACTAGGGGGCGATTTTACGTTTTTTTTGTGTGTAATGGGTTGTGTATCACACAACATTTTGCGCAACCACACAAAATACATATCATATGATAGGCCTGCTCATACCGAACAGTTTGACACTCAAACCACTGCTGTCATTTACACCGTTCGTTAAATATTCATAAATATAGGAAAAACCTACTTTTGCGAACTAGTCCCTGGTTTTTAGCTCAGTCGCGACGAAACCAGTGTTGTTAGAATCTCTGGACTGTGTAGATCAATAATTATCAAAAAAAAGTTGAACTTTTCACTTTGGCTAGCTGTAACAGGCTAATTTACAAAAGGGGCGTATCCACACGAACCTACATGCCTGTAAACCAATGAGGAAAACTCAAAACATCACAGAAATTGGTGAGCACATGTGCCATATCAATGTGAAGAAACTTGCAAAATTTTGTGAAGATCAAACCATAGGTGGCGCTATAATAGCAAAAATAGTCTTTAAATAATGCTAAATCGCTTAAAAATAAAGTAAATTTGCTTCATTTACACACTATTTCACTAAAAACACTCAATCTATATATCATATGATAGGTCTGCTCATACTGAACAGTTTGAGACTAAAACCACTGCTGTTACTCAAACTGTTCATTAAAAAACCATCAATATAAACAAAACCTACTTTTGCGAACTAGTCCCTGGTTTTTAACTCAATCACAACGAAACCAGTGTTGTATGATCCTCTGGACTGAGTAGATCAATAATTATCAAAAAAAAGTTGAACTTTCCATTTTAGATAGCTGTAACAGGCTCATTAACAAAAGGGGCGTGTCTACACGAACCTACATGCCTGTAAACCAATAAGGAAAACCCAAAACATCACATTAATTGGTGAGCAGATGTGGCATATCAATGTGAATAAACATGCAAAATCTTGTGGAGATTGGGCTATAGGTGGCGCTATAATAGTGGAAATGGTTCTAAAAACATGCTAAAATGGCTTAAAAATGAAGTAAATGTGCTTCATTTACACACTTATCACTGAAATGATTTATAAGTTATTTTTTTTTGTCCATCTTGGATGTTTAAAGGTCTCAAAAACACATATTTTCAATATTCTATCATTTTAGCCACTATAACACAGACTTTTAACTGTCACCTACCATTTCTAACCACTAGATGTCACAACAAGACCACTTATTTATTGTTCATAACATTTGCATACCTTTGTTGTTTTACATTTTTTGAGTTTAAAGTCAGGAAAATTGCATTTAGGATCATTCTTAATCACATTTTGACCTGATGTAAACACTGTTATGCATTAAACATCTAATTTGGTCCCAGTTAACCTCTTCATAATAATTCTAATAGGTAAAACTGGTTCTATGATTAAACACCTTGTTTTAAAACATATGTAAAGAAAATCACAACTGTGGCTTCTAGATGGCAGTAACAAAGCACTTGATGTTTATTTTACTGCTCTATAGCAAAGAATGTAATGTAATGTTATGTAATGCATTCTGAATCCCAAACTGACATGGCATGAACACAGTTAATCCATTTAAGATCAAATTTAGTCAAAGCTTGTCACACTTTTTACTCTGTAGATTTATAATTATTTTAATAAAATACAAAATTTTCATTTTATACAGTTAGAACATGCTCAATTATAGAAGGGATATGTTTATGCACACCTAAATGGCTGTAATCACATAAATAAATTACACTGTGGCCACTAGATGGCAGTAGGAGATCACTAATAGCTTATTCACTGCTCTTTTGTCATTTTTATTAAGAAGAGCTAAAATAGCCATAACTCATGAAGGAATAAAAATATCTTCACCAAACTGGTTACACATATGCAAGAGGTCAGTCTAAGGTCATAGCATAAAACTCGTAGACAATGGCCACATGATGGCGCTATACATTGTAAAATCACTGTATCTGAGTAACCATTTATCTGATTAACTTAAAATTTGACATGTCGTGTCTTTGTCTAAGGTGCCATGACTCGATCTACACATTATATCATAGGGCTGCTTATACTGGTCACTTTGACATAAAAGCGGTCACTCGAAATGTTCATTAAAAATTTGTCAATATGTAAAAATCGAAGTTGCTTCTCTGGAGTGTTTAATCAAACACTTGTTAGCTCAATCTATAAACTTTAACAGACTAATCGTATATTTCGCTGTCGAATAAACTACTTACAGGCATCCTACCTGCTATATGACCTTACCCTGCTAAACTGCTTGACCCCCGTTAATTGCTGCTTGCAGCTATATTTATTATTATTATTATTATTAGGGGGTCAAGCGCGTAGCGCTGAAACCCTATTGTATTTGTTAGGATTTTTATTATTATTATTATTCTGCCGAAGTCACTATTGCCCAGACCAAACCGTAAGGCCGAGAGAGCTGAAAC